AAAAAAAAAAAAAAAAAAAAAAAAGGAAAGGCCTTAACAGTTATTAACACCATCAGGTGGTCCCCACTTGTGCGGCAAAAAGACCGTTTAAAATCCTTTAACCGACAGACCAACAGACAGCCGTCGATCCTTTCCCAATCGAACGGCTCAATTCACTCGACCGTTTAAATTCAAATTCCCTCATTTTAAAAGCCAATCAATATAACCCCAGTTCAAAATTTCGAAAACAGAGACTCTCATTACATTAACATCAACCCCTTTCAATCCTCTCTCCTTCCTCTGAAAAAAAAAAGAAGAAGAAAAATCTCAAAAAAAATGGTGAAAGTGTCATCTAACTCACCGAATTCATCTCCGGTGACCATCACGGTCACCTCCTCCGGCGGCTCTCGGAGCCTTGGGCTGACGAGCCCCATGCCCCGTCACTCCATCTCGAACAACCCGAATTCCCCACTCGACCAGAGTAGCCGCCGAGTCTCATCTGATGGGCACGGAAGGTACCTTTCCTTCTCGAAAGACAGCTCGGCAGAAGAATTCGTGGCCTACACTGTTCACATTCCCCCGACTCCCGATCGCCGCCCGTTTTCCGATTCCCAAAATCTTGAAAACACGAACCCTAACGAGAGCCAGATCAAGGACACGATCTACACCGGCGGGTTCAACTCGGCTACAAAAGCCCACGTCAGAAAAAGCTTGGAAATCGAGCCGATTGTGGAGAAATCAAAGAAAATCTGCGGGATGGAAGGCTGTGACGAGAAGGCTGCAAACGGGAAGTTCAAGAGTTACTGTGATTGCGGATTTGGGATATGCGAGGATTGTTATGTGGACTGTCTGAAAATCGGCGAAGGGCATTGCCCGGGATGTAAGGAGCCGTATAAAGAGGTCAATGGTGATGAGAGTGAGGAGGAAGAAGAGCCCTTTTCCGAAGAGAAGGACCGGGCGAATCCTCTGCCTTCTTGGGGGAAAGGAGTGAAATTGGAGAAGAATTTTTCTCTGGTGCAGTCGATTAAGAACCCGAATCAAGATTTTGATCATAATCGGTGGCTGTTCGAGACCAAGGGGACTTACGGGTATGGGAATGCGCATTGGCCGAGAGATGGGTATGAGTTTGGGAGAGGTACAGAGAGATATGAGAAGCCTCCCGATTTTAGCGATAGAAGGAATCGGCCGTTGACGAGGAAAATGGGGGTCTCTGCAGCCATTATCAGTCCATACAGGTATTCTTCATGTTAAGTATTTTTGTATTCTTGAAACATTTTGTTGATTTTGTTGTTTTCCTTCCTCCCAAGTTGAAGTTTTTTTTAAGTAGTATCATTGATGGAATTATGCTGTGTAAATTGCCTTATACTTGTGTCTTATTTAGGCACTGTGTTGTGAAAATGTTGCTTTACTCAATGAGGTTTATGTGTAGCATTGAGTGTTTGGAATAATTTGCGAATGAATAACTAGAAATTTTCCGAAATTTGCCTCGTATACGCATCATGGATTGCTCAATTTATTGCTTTTCAAGAATTTGTGACTGAGCCCGAGCCATTCACTCTTGTTACAATGTCTTTTGATAGTTTCATAAGAGGGGTTTATAGCTAACTAAGTCTCTGAAGTTAACATAAATTATGAGGTTTATGTGTGGTACCCGTGTCTGTCTTGAATGATTTGCCGATGAACAATAATTAGCCAATGTTCGTAAATTTTGAAGAAAAAATTTGCGTAATTTGCCAATGTCAGTCGTGTTATGTTGGAAATATCGATTTGTGCCATTGCTTTTCAAGAATTTTGCGACTAAAAGCCATTCACTCTTTGTTGCAATGTCTTTTCTTAGCTTCACAAGATGTTACTCTATTTACTAAGTCTATGAAATTTAACATAACAAAATGTCGTATATATAATCCAGATTGCTGATGGCCATTCGTCTCGGTGTACTCGCCTGCTTCTTAACATGGCGAGTAATGCACCCGAACCACGAAGCCATGTGGCTATGGCTCATGTCTGTAGTCTGCGAGATTTGGTTCGCCTTCTCTTGGCTTCTCGACCAACTCCCGAAGCTCTGCCCCGTCAAACGTGTCACCGACCTCACAGTCCTCAAAGACCGGTTCGAATCCTCCGAACCAAACCTCCGCAATCCTAAGAAGCTATCCGATCTACCCGGGATTGATGTATTCGTCTCAACGGCCGATCCTGAAAAGGAGCCGCCACTTGTCACAGCCAACACTATCCTCTCGATCCTAGCCGTCGATTATCCAGTCGAGAAAGTTGCGTGCTACCTTTCGGATGATGGGGGCTCGTTGGTCACGTTCGAGGCCTTAGCCGAGGCTGCCAGCTTCGCGAGAGTGTGGGTCCCGTTTTGCAGGAAGCACAAAATCGAGCCAAGAAACCCCGAGGCTTATTTCGGGCAAAAACGGGACCCGTTGAAGAATAAGGTTCGGGTGGATTTCGTGAGGGACAGACGGAGGGTGAAGAGGGAATATGACGAGTTTAAGGTGAGGATAAACGCGCTGCCTGACTCGATTAGGCGGAGGTCCGATGCTTACAATGCGCAAACCGAGATTAGGGCTAAGAAGAAGCAAGTCGAGCTCGGGGTTAATGAGCCGGTTAAGGTCCCGAAGGCTACGTGGATGGCCGATGGGAGCCATTGGCACGGGACTTGGCCATCGGGCGAGGAAGGTCACTCGAGAGGCGATCATGAGGGGATAATACAGGTAAAAATGAAAAAAAAAAATGAAAAAAAAAATTATTACACCCTTTCAATTTGTAGTATCAACTTTGGTAAATTTATCTGATTCTTAATAATGCTGCAGATAATGTTAGTCCCGGCAAGCCCGGAACCGCTTTTCGGCCTCGAAGCAGACGAAGAGAACCTAATTGACATGACAGATGTCGACATCAGATTGCCAATGCTCGTCTATGTGTCGCGCGAAAAACGGCCGGCTTTCGAGCACAACAAAAAGGCGGGAGCTATGAACTCGCTTGTCCGGGCCAGCGCCATCATGTCGAACGGCGCATTCATCTTGAACCTCGATTGCGATCACTACATATACAATTCGTTAGCCGTCCGTGAAGGCATGTGCTTCATGCTCGACCGAGGTGGAGACAAAATCTGCTATGTTCAGTTCCCTCAGAGGTTCGAAGGCATCGATCCGAACGACCGCTACGCGAATCACAACACGGTTTTCTTCGACGTCAGCATGCGGGCCCTCGATGGCCTTCAAGGCCCGATGTACGTCGGCACGGGCTGCATCTTCCGGAGGATCGCGCTCTACGGGTTCAGCCCGCCGCGAACAACCGAGCATCTCGGCTGGTTTGGAAGGTACAAAAAACGAAAGCTTCTTCTAACTAGTAAAAAAACGAAAAATGACCAACAAGAAAAAGACGACGAGATGCTTTTGCCGATTAACCGGGAGGATCATGAGTACGAGGACGATGACATGGCGAGAGCCACACTGACGAGGCAGTTCGGAAGCTCGGCTTCGCTCGTAGACTCGATCCGCGTGGCGGAGTTCGGCGGGCGACTTCTCCACGGGTTGCGGGCAAAGGGCTGCCCGGGCAGGCCCGCGGGCTCCTTAGCGGTTCAACGCGAGCCGCTCGATGGCTCGGCTCTCGCCGAAGCAGTCAGCGTGATCACGTGCTTTTACGAGGACAAAACAGAATGGGGGAAACGGGTCGGGTGGATATACGGGTCGGTTACCGAGGACGTGGTCACTGGCTACCGAATGCATAACCGAGGCTGGCGCTCGGTTTACTGCGTAACAAAACGAGACGCGTTTCGTGGGACGGCTCCGATAAACCTAACCGACCGGCTCAATCAGGTTCTCCGATGGGCCACTGGCTCTGTCGAGATATTCTTCTCACGTAACAACGCGATTTTCGCGAGCACGAGGATGAAGTTTTTACAGCGTGTCGCTTACTTTAACGTCGGGATTTACCCTTTCACGTCGGTTTTCCTCATCGTGTACTGCGTTCTCCCGGCACTTTCGTTATTCTCCGGAGAGTTCATTGTGAAAACGCTAGACATCTCGTTTTTGGTCTTCTTGCTGGCTATAACGCTAACTCTCTGCATGCTGGCACTACTCGAGATAAAATGGTCGGGTATTACGCTTCACGATTGGTGGAGGAACGAGCAGTTTTGGCTGATAGGCGGGACGAGTGCTCACCCAGCAGCTGTGATTCAAGGCTTGCTTAAAGTAATCGCAGGTATTGAAATTTCTTTTACATTGACTTCGAAATCGAGTGTACCTGATGAAGGGGAAGATGAGTTTGCCGAGCTTTACGAGTTTAGATGGACTACACTCATGATACCACCAATCACGATTATTATGTTCAATGTGATTGCGATCTGTGTGGCAATATCGAGGACTGTGTACAGTCCTTTCCCGGAGTGGAGCAAGTTGTTGGGAGGAGTTTTCTTTAGTTTTTGGGTGCTTTCGCATTTGTACCCGTTCGCGAAGGGGTTGATGGGGAGAAGGGGGAAAATACCGACGATCGTTTATCTTTGGTCGGGTTTGATTTGCATTATCATTTCTCTTATGACGGTTTATGTGTATCCACCGATGGGGAGTCGAGGGAGCATTGGATTCGAGTTGCCTTGAGAGTTTTGGTCGATGGTTTGTTTGACTTTTAGGATGGTGAAGTTGCTCGACTTCGTCTTGAGTTCGATTGTTGTTGTTTTCGTTTTTTCTTTTTCTTTTTTTCTTTTCTTTTTCTTTATATGTTCTGTTTTAGTTTAAGGGGGAAAATGTGTTGTTGCTTGAACTTACATTTCATTGAAATTTGTTGGGTTTTTTAATGTATGATACTGTACTGTCTTTGGTTTCTCTTGGCTGTTGCTTCTGTTTTTTGTTCAGGGGAAAATACAGTTAAATCATGAATCTTGTTACATTTCGTCCTGATTGAAGGTTTGTGTTCAATCAGTCGATACCGAATACAACGAAAAGCGATATCAAACCGATCGATATCAAACCGAACTGAATCGAATAAAAAATCGGTTAACCGAAACCGGTTTGGCCAAAATGAAAACCGAAAACTGAACCATAAAATTAAAGTTAAATTACACATCCTTGAGGAAAGGGAACTTGTCCCAGTTTTAGAGCTACTTGAGGATATAAAAGAGTTGGGACAAAATTTGAAAGAAAGTAAAAAAAAAAGAGAAAAACATCACCAGTGCAAGTTAAGAATAAGCTGGTCTGCATTTGATGTTGGGCCAAAAAAACAATTTTAGCAAACAAAAGGGCAAGAATGTGTAAATTATGTAAATAAATATGGAGGATCATAAAAAAATCTAAGTGATGGTCCCATAACATGGAAAGGGCTCCAATTGAAATTGCTGTTTTCGAGCTGTAAAGTTTTGGGCTTTTGGGGACGTACATGTTCTGTTGGTGTCTTTTCAGCCCTTACCCCATTCTTTCTTAAATTTTGTAGATATTTATCTTATTTTTATT